AGAGGGGCTGGGAGTCTGGGTGAAAAGGTAAAGGCATTAAGAAAAAACGCCAGCCCTAGCCTGTTGCTCAGTGGTTAGAGCATTGGCCTACAGACCAAAGAGATTCGGGTTTGATTCTGGTCAAGGGCATGTAGCTTGGTTGTGGTTTGAACCCTGGCCCTGGTCAGGGTCATGCAAGAGACAACCAATCGATGTGTCTCTCTCACATTGATGTTTCTCTCTTCCTCCCACTCTTATCTGAAAATCAATGGAAAAATATCCTCAGGTGAGGATTAAAAAAAAGAAAGAAAGAAAAAAACACAATAAACAACAAAAAAAAACCCTCACAGACACAGACAACAGTATAGTGATTACCAGACAGAAGGGGTGGGGGTGGGGAGTTGAAGGAGGTAGAAGAGGATAAAGGGGGTATGAATGGTGATAAAGAGAGACATGAGTTGGGGTGGTAACACAATACAATATACAGGTGATGTATTATAAAATTGTATACCTGAAACCTATATAACATTAACCAATGTCACCCCAATAAATTCAAAATAAAAAATTGTTTTAAAAGAAGGGAGAAAAAGCCAGACACAAAATCTACTCCTGTTAGATTCATACAATGTTCTCTCTTGGCATTCCTCATGTGAATAGTTCTCAGAACACAGTACTATATCTATCATCACTCCCAGAAATATTTGTCCTTATCAGTACAGAGTTTGTCACCTCTCCTACACAATTCCTAGGAAAGATGTCTTTCCAAACTTAATCCCCAGGCAAGTTCCCCATCCATTTCTAGAACAAGGACAATACTGATCATTTTTGCACACCTATTACGTTAGAATGCTGGAAAATATCTTCTCATTTAGACCTTAATTCTGTGAGATAAGTATTATCGCCTTGATTTTTTTTTTAATCCCCATCCGAGGACATTTTTTTTTGCATTATCTTCAGATGAAGCATGAGGGAGAGAGGGAGGAAGAGAGAGAGAGAAAGATCGAAGTGAGAGAGACACATCAATTGGTTGCCACCCTCAGAACCCCAACCCGGGGCCGGGGACAAACTGTAACTGAGGTACGTGCCCTTGGCAGGAACCAAACCAGGGACTCTCTGGTGTGCGGGCCGACGCTCTAACCGCTGAGCCAAACCGACCAGGGCTATCGCCCTAATTTTACTGGTGAGGAAACAGAGATGGCAGAGGTTAGTTTTTTGCTTTAGGTCACAAAGAAAGGGTGGCACCAAGATGTGCATCCAAAGCCCATGCTCCTTCCTCTGCACCACATCACATCTCTTCAACACTGGGCGAAGAGACTGAATTCTAATGTCACCCTATCATAAATATTGTATCAGTTGGATACATAATATAGAAGGCCAGGAACCGATTCCACAATACAATTTCTTTTTTTTCTTACTCCCTAATGGGCACTGCTTTCTTGCCTACCAGAAAGTCGGTCACAATTTATCTCCAATCTTTTTGGCCTGGATAAGATCGACTTCCACTTTCATCACGTTTTTCTCTCTCTCTCATTTACTTTTTTTTTTTTTTTTTATCCTCACCCGAGGACATTTTTCCATTTTCTGTTCAGGTAGAGTGGGAGGGAGAGAGAGAGAGAGAGAGAAACATCGATGTGAAAGGGACACATCGAGTGGCTGCCACCCGCACAACCGACCAGGGCCGGGGACAAACTGCAACCGAGGTACATGCCCTTAGCGGGAACCGAACCTGGGTCTCTCAGGACCACAGGCCGACGCTCTAACCGCTCAGCTAAACTGGCCAGGGCTCTCTCATTTACTTTTGTGCTGACATGTTCATAACTCCATAATTGATGATTGAAAAAGTCACCGTGTGCCCTCTAGCTGAACCTGTTTTGTAAAGACCTCCTGAACCAAGAAATTGTTGGGAGCCAGCTATGTGTCTGCCAGAGTCCACAGAGCCTGGAGATCTTGAGTCAGAGACTCAACTTCCCCCACAATCTCAAGGAATTAGGCTTGCGTTGTGTTTGTGCAGCTCGGGGCTAAGTGTGACCCAATGTACCTTGAAATACCTGGGTCTGCCTGGGTGTTCCTGTTATCCGCAAGGCAAACTAATTCTATACAGCATTGTTGTAGCCCTGGGCATTATGTCAAGAAGATCCTATTTTTTTATATCATTAAACTATTGCTGTAAGGTATAAAAGGCATGTAATAAAACATATCGAGGCTGATCTCCAAAGACTCTGTCACAGGGATGTTCGGAACCAGACGCCAGCTGGCTAATAAATGGCTCTTATTTGGACTTCAATTCTCTAGTGGTCTTTCTTTGACTCTGTTACACCACAACACTTTGAGGGCTGTATACATAGCTACAGCTCAGGTAACACCTCCCTGATCTCAGATGACAAAGCATTTTCTTTTTCTTTTTTTTCCATTTTATTTATTTATTTATTTATTTGTTTGTTTTTGTTACAGATGTTTCTCCTTTTTTACCCCTTTGACACCCTTCTCCCCATCCCCCCCACCCCATCCCTGGCTTTGTTGTTCATGTCCATTGGTCATGCATTCATGCATACAAGTTCTGTGGTTTATTTCTTCCCTCCCCCCCACCCCCTTGTCAGTCTGTACCCTACTTCCACGTCTCTGGGTCTATCCTGTTCCTCAGACTGTTATGTTCATTATATTCCACATATAAGTGAGATCATGTGGTATTTGTCTTTTTCTGCTTGGCTTGTTTAGCTTAGGATAATACTTTCCAGGGCCCTCCATGTCGTCTCAAAGGATAAGAGATCTTTCTTTCTTACAGCTGCATAGTACTCCATTGTGTATATGTACCACAGCTTTTTTCTCCATTCGTCTACTGATGGACACTTGGGCTGTTTCCAGATCTTAGTGCTGCTATGAACATGGGGGTACATATATTCTTTCTGATTGGTGTTTCAGGTTTCTTAGGGTATATTCCTAGAAGTGGGATCACTGGGTCAAATGGAAGTTCAATTTTTAATTTTTTGAGGTAACACCATATTGTTTTCCACTGTGGCTGCACCAGTCTGCATTCCCACCAGCAGTGCACTAGAGTTCCCTTTTCTCCACACCCTCGCCAACACTTGTTGTTTGATGATTTGTTGATGGCGGCCATTCTGACAGGTGTGAGGTGATACCTCATTGTTGTTTTAATGACAAAGCATTTTCTATCCTAAAGCCCAACCCTCATTTCACCTCAAGATGTAAATATCCCAGCCTGCTCTTTCTCACCAATTACAACAACTCAGCACTGAAAAGGAAAGAATTTCCCCCAATCCCTTTGCTCAGGATGACTTAAAAAAAAAAAAAAAAAAAAAAAAAAAGATTTTATTGATTTCAGAGACAGGAAGGGAGAAAGAGAGACACACACACATTGATGACAGAAAAACATGGAAGATAAGATAAGATAAGATAAGATAACTCATTAATAAAGGTATCCTTATAGATAAAAACAGAATTGCAGAGCTGGAAGTGACCTTACAGATCACCTTATTCAAACCCTAATTTTACTGATGAGAAAGCTAAGACACAGAGAGGTGTGATTTGGTCAAGATCACTCACTTACATACTTCTCATATCTACCTATAATTTACAGAACAGTTACCATCCAGTTTAGCACACAGTGCTTCTTACCCACACTCTCAGGATAATTCCATCCTCCTCTTGCCCTCCCTCTGTCTGCATCACTTCTCTCCCCATTGCTCCCAACACAGATCCGTCTTCTCCATTCTATTATAACATTTCCCAGGACTCACAGTCAAGAAGTCCATCTCCTATTATCTCCATCTCAAAAGTATTATCCTGTTTTTCCCCATCTTCATTTTTCACCCAGTACTTTTCCCTCATAACCCTGGTCTCTCCTGCTAATACAGATTTCTCATTTCATCCCTTGGAAAGTATTCCTTTCTCTTCCATGAGGAGAAGGGAACTATATGCAGTACAGTGCTGTCTCTTCCTACTACAACTTATTTCAGCCTGTATAGGTCACTCTTCTGTCACAAATTCAAGCATCTCTTCTCCCTGTCACTCTTCCTCCCAATTAGCACATCGACATCGCTTTCACATTATTCAAAGCTGGTATTTCCAGTAAAACACATCAACCTCTTCTTCGTTACTCCTAGTCCAGACCTCTTTGGTCCCCATCGTGACCACGGCAGCTGCGCACCACCACCTGCACACAGAGCTCTGTCCTTGCAACTGGTGCAGATTCTTCTCTCCAGCCTCAGCATGAGGCATCTCCCCATCTTCTCTAGATAAAAGTTCTCTCCCACAAACTCTCCTTCTCATCATCCCTGTGTAAGGGTCTCTCTTTTCCGTACATCTTCACCATCACGTCTCACATTTCTATTTCCTAATTCCCAATCAGTTTCACCACAAAGATCCTTCTTTCCCCATTACTTCCAAGGCAGAATACTTCCCTATAGCTTCCCCTTGTGACATCACTCTCAATGCAAAGCAATACTCATATTATGTTCTTCCTTCTTTCCAATTAAATATTTGCTCTGGCCAGGCGGCTCAGTTGGTTGAAGCATCAGTCTATATACCAACAGGTTGCAGGTTCAATCCCTGGTTGGGTGCGTACAGGAGACAATTATTAATGTTCTCTCTCACATCAATGTCTCTCTCTCCCCCTTCCTCTCTCTAAAAAAAAAATCAATAAAAACATATCCTTGGGTGAGGGAAAAAAAAAAATATATATATATATATATAAATAAAATATATATATATAAATAATATATATATATATAAAATCCCTCTCTCATTGTTCCACTTACTGCCTCTCTCCCATTAATCCTAGTATAGACTATTTTTGCCTCTGACTCTAAGATCACCCTCCTAATTCTTTACATTATGCATCTCCATATTTACATATACCACTGCAGAACTCTCTCCTCTCTTCCATCCCTCCCAAGGGTTACCTTCACCATGGTACAAGGCGTCTGAGCATTCCATTCCAATCCTAACAAAACTTTCCTCTTGTCATGTCTGAGATCTCTCTCTCTCAGCCAGTGGTTCTTAACCTGCTTTGTGCCAGTAATTCCTTGGCAGTCTAATAAAGCCTATTAACTCCTCAGAATAATGCTTTTAGGTGTTTAACTTCAAACACAAAGGATTACAGCCCTGCTGGTGTGGCTCAGTGGATTGAGTGTTGTCCCATGAAGAATCACAGTTGGATTCCAGGTCATGGCACGTGCACTGGTTTCAGGCTTGATCGCCAGTAGGGGGCGTACAGGAGGCAGGAAATCAATTGATGTTTCTCACATTGATGTTTCTCTCCTCCTTCCTATCTAAAAAATCAATAAAAACATATTAAAACACAAATGATTACATTAGAAGTCAATTATATAAAAATAGTTATCAAATATTTAAAGTGAATTTGTGGTATAATCATGTTTCTTTATTAATTCATTAAAAGAAAAGATACCTCCAAAGACTGTAAATTTCTGTGAAAATACCTATGATTTCTATTGGTGACAAAAATCTCAGGTACTGTTGAAACTACTACAGTTTCTGGCCTACATTTATAATTAAAGGAAGCACCAAATTTTAGTTAGAAGTTAATAAAAATAAAGATGTAAATTTTCCCCCATTCGTAATTAAAAGAGCCTCTCACAAGAGGTCTGTGAAGTCCATATTAAGAACCCTACTTTAGCCCTGGCCAGTTTGGCTCAGCGGTTAGAGCGTCGGCCTGCAGTCCGGAGAGACCCGGGTTTGGTTCCCGCTAAGGGCACGTACCTCGGTTGCAGTTTGTCCCCGGCCCTGGTTGGTCGTGCGGGTGGCAGCCACTCGAAGTGTCCCTTTCACATCGATGTTTCTCTCTCTCTCTCTCTCTCTCTCTCTCTCTCTCTCTCTCTCTCTCTCTCTCTCTCTCTCTCTCTTCCTTTCTCTCCCTCCCACTCTATCTGTACAAAAAATGGAAAAATGTCCTCAGGTCAGGATGAAAAAAACAAACTAAAAAAAAAAAAAAAGAACCCTACTTTAAACATGGAGGCTTTAAAAAGAAGCTTTTATCCTATGGGATGTTGAAAATCTCCTGAACTAAAACTTTTATGCTACTGATGAGGAAACTGAAGCTTAGAGAAGTTATAAGACTTTAAATCTCATTATGTCTTGAACAGACTAAGCCCATAGTAGACACACAATAAATGTTCCCCGAATTGAACTAAGCAACTTGCCATAGTTGCACAGCTAATTAGTGATCTGAACCCTAAAGTTGAGACCTGAACCCATATGTCACAACTCAAATAAGTATTACTTCAATCACATTACGTTAATGCAATATTTGCCTTTCTATAAATGCCAATGGAGCAATTGCTCTCATTGTATGCTCTTCCTCAAAATTTTTAGGAAAATATACTTTGGGCCTTCATCACTTCCAAGAAAACTCTCCCTCCTGTTTCTAACAGCAGAAGTCTTTGATTCCACATCACATTACCATTTCCTGTTTTTCTCTCATGAGTAAATAGGTCTTGGCAGTCATAATGGATACTGATTCAGAAATTAACTGATGGTCATGTAAAATAGTCTCTAGCTACAATCAGGTGCTTGGTTTACAGCAATCAGCACTCAAATACAATATCATGCTCCTAGAAGTTTCCTGGTCTTCTGGCATGATTTCCATTTTATTGCCAATCTCTATTCAGAAATTAGCGAATCCTTTTCTGCTTAGTTTTTAAAACAATGTTCACTACACTGCCTTCTCTCAGGTTTGTCTCATCACATTCTCTTCTATATTAAAAAAATTTTTTTTAATCCTCACCGAGGACATTTTTCCTTTTTTTTTTGTTCAGATAGAGTGGGAGGGAAAGAGAGGGGGAGAGAGAGAGAGAGAAACATCGACGTGAAAGGGACACATCGAGTGGCTGCCACCCGCACAACCCAACCAGGGCCGGGGACAAACTGCAACCGAGGTACGCGCCCTTAGCGGGAACCGAACCCGGGTCTCTCCGGACCGCAGGCCGACGCTCTAACCGCTGAGCCAAACCGGCCAGGGCGATTCTCTTCTCTATATCATCTCAACTACAAATGTTTTATTTTCCTCACCATACCAAAGTAGCATTATCTTTCCTATCAATCTCTCACTATATTTTTATCATCTATCCAACAATTATATATTGACTATCTACCATCCCTTTCTTAAGTATTTGTTTTCAAGCAATCCAACCCTTTTCTCCCTGAATGAATCATTGCTCTAGACACCCGCAATTTAAAGTTTTCTTCTGCATTTCTTCAGACAGACAGCTCTTTTCTTCATCCCCCCAGTGGAGAGCATCCTCATCTGTCCTCTCCGGGATGTGTATTCGCACCACATCTTCAAGTCAGCTTCGACTCCTCTCAGCCTGAGCTCACAGGCACCTTCACACACAAGATCATCTCTGCCCATCCCATTCAAGGCAGGATTCTTTTTTCTTGCCATTTAGAGCTTACTGCTCTCTTTGCTCTCCATTGTCCCTAACTTCACTATCCACTGCTTCAAAGTTTCCCCTCCCCCACCCCATCACTTTCACATGACTCTGTTCTTACAACTGTCTAGATCTGTTATGTTGAATATGATCACCAAATGAGGCTACTGACCACCAGAAACATGTCTAGTCTGAATTAAGATGTACTGGAAGTGTAAAATACACACTGGACTTCAAAGACTTAGTATGAAAAGAGAAAACATCTCATTAAACATTTTTATATTGATTAATGCCGAAATAATATTTTGAACATACTGGGTTAAATAAAATATTAAAGTTAATTTAACCTATTTCTTTATACTTTCTAATGTGGCTAATAAAACTTTTTAAATTACATAAATGGCTTGCTAGACAGCATTATTTGGCACTTTTCTGTTGATTCATACTTTTAAATCTCCCTACTAATTAAAAATTCTCTCCTCTTATATCACACCTTCCCCAATTATACTCACTGCTCCCCACACTCCAAACCTAGAATTATTTTCAATCTACCATTTTCAATACCTTTTCTACACCATTATTTCTGTACATAGTATTTCTTTGTGCCTACTATCCAATCATCATAAAGTTTCTTCTTCATCACTTCTAGTAGAGTGGTATCTGTCTCAACTTTCAGGAGAAAAAAATTGTCCTTATAATAACCAAGATAAAAACTTCACTCATCACTCTCTAAATTGGCCTATTTTTACTATAATTTCACTTAAAGGGGCTAGTAATTGTAAATCACTTAACTAATGTAAATTAATAATTTCAGACCAGTATCTCTCATTCATACTTGGACAGAAACTCCCCCTCTGTCATTTTAAAGATAGCATTCCTTTCTCCAAACTCTTCTAATGTTGAGGTTTCAATCCCATTATTTAAGCAGAGAACTCTCTTATTTCACGCTAAATACTCAAATACAATTCTCAAAATGGTGTGTTTGTTTTCCTACCATTTTCAGCATGGGCCATGTGTCATCATCACTCTCCCACATTTCTGGAATTGTCTTTTCTTTTCTCAACTATTTTAGGGGGAAAAAAATCAAGACTGGGAAGGTGGGCATGAACGGCATGGTGAGGAGAGTTGGGAGAGTTTGTACTGAGAGTGGTAAAAAGTAGCAGTCATAGATAAGATCTCTTATTCATTATCTTCTTGCAATGTTTCTTCTAAAATCTCTCCGTACTTCTCCTGCCCAAGAAGCCCCACTGTGGACCCTTTATGTGTATCCCTTCCCCATATGAATGATTACCTTCACTCCAGCACCTCTCAAAATTCTTCCTCTGTAAGGTCTCCTCCCAGCATTCTTAGCAAAGAAATTCCTTGTCTTTATTCCAAGAATATGTTTCTTTTTTTTTTGCTTCCAACATTTTCCTCAGATGATCTTTCCTTCATCATTCTCTCTATATATAAATTATAGTTTCCCATCACTCCCACTATTGAAAAACCTTTAAAAAAAATTACTCCTGCCCTGGCCGGTTTGGCTCAGCGGTTGGACTGTTGGCCTGTGGACCAGAGTCCCGGGTTCGGTTCCCGCTAGGGGCACATACCAAAGGAAAAAGAAAAAGAAAAAAAATTACTCCTAGTGTTGAAACTTTTCCCTGTTCCCTAACTGTATTTTTATTTAGCTCCCATCCAGTTCTCTCAAGACAAAACTCTCTGATCCACACACTTCCGATCCAAATATTGCTTCCTTTTCGGTTAGCCCTGCTAAAGATCCCTTGTGCATATCTCTCCCAATAGACGGCCCTCTCCTTTCTCATATTCTCTCTCTGGATACTCTGGGTGGACAGCTCATTTATTGGTCCTTTCCCTTACTCTTCTTTCTTCAATATTTCTCTTCTGTTTTTTTCCTCTGCCTATTCTTTTCTCTCCCCCTCAATGTCTAGTTTTAAAGCCAATATTCTATCTGCTTCAGAAAAGAGCCTCCATTTTACAAATGGTTCAAGTTCAGAACTGAGGGGAACCTGAAAGAGTAGGACAAGCTGCTTTTTCTCCCACGGTTTGGGCATATTCCCCTTCAGTTCCCCTCCACTGGGGTGTCTCCCTTTCTCCTCCCACTCAGCTTCTCACTTCCCCAGTGTGTCCGGTCCTTCCTCCACTCCCCATTGCCTCCAAAGCAGTCCCTCTGATGGCCTGCCTTACTTTCTTCTCTGCCTTAGGACTATCCTATTCCAAACATTCCTCTCATGCTTTCTCCTTCCAATCATCCTGCCATCTGCTTCCACCCTCTCTGGGCCCTTTCATTTCCTCCCACCTTCCAGTTGCTGCTGCATCATTTCCTTTTGATCCTCCTGGTCCAACCAGGTACAAAAAACAACAGCTGAATGCCCAAAGTCAAAATGCCTGGGACTAAAGGGGAAGAGAGAGGAAGACAGGCTCTATAGCTGCCCTTGGGGTCTGCAAGAATGATCAATACTTTGGTCGATTTCAAGAAAGGGCCCAGAACCCTATCATCAGGAATTGCCTTATCCTTGCAAAGGCCAAAAATCTACTGAATCTCCTCCTGGTCTCCACTAGAGTCAGCCCCCGTGTGCCCTGGGGTCACCTCCACCGCTAAGTTGGATGCGGTGAACAGTTAAGCAAAGGCAGATCCGTCCTGATACTAAAGAAGTTGAAGATTCAGGAACCTCAAATTTGCATGTTGCCCTTATTTTTCTTAAATAGAGCCCACCAAACTGAATAAGCTTTGGATGTCAGTACACCTGGATCTGCCCCTGTATGGGGAGAAGCTTTTCTGGCTTCTAGGGGTTATGGATCAACAAACAGGGAAGCCAGACGTGCTCTAAGTAGACTGATTCTAAACAAGGTTCAGTTGAATACGCCCTGCCTCTACTGAGAGGGCACCCTCCTCCTGAAGACCCCGTGCTCCTGCACTAGCTCTGAGCCGAATCTCCTGTTCCAGAACCTTAGCTGGATTCTTGACTTCAGGCCTTTGGGCCACACCCAACCCAGCCCAGCCTCTCTCTTGGCCTCACAGTCAGTCCTGGTCCAGCAGGTGACAGGCCCTCTGGTAGCTAAGGTTTCCTTAGGGCCACTACTCAGCTCTTTACAGATCAGCTCTAAATCTGCCAGTAGAGTGACCTCTACTACCAAGATGAAGACAGGTCACCAACATGGTCCCCACCGCTGTAAGACCCTCCCTTTGCCCCTGCATCCACAGAGCCCAGTAGGGTCAACACAACCTTCTCTGAAGCCAGAACTGCCCTCCCCTTACTTAACTGACAGCTGCCCAATGTACCCTCACTTTGGGGTCTTGCTACTGTCCCCAGAAATCCCACACTTGCCGCTTCTCTATTCCAGCAGCTGAGAAAAAGGAAGGGGTTCTGAAAAGAAGGTGTGGAAGAGCCAAGGCTTGCGGACCAGAATGCTGGGGGGAAGGCTCTAATTTGGAAGTCTTCGGTGAGGCTTCAAGCACTCTGGAGGCAGAGCAGGGCTGCGGTTCTGGGATCTAGAGGTGAGGAGTTTGTAAGGGAACTGGAGGTGGTTCCGCAGAACCCGCCATCTGGGGGTCTGGGATTCCAAGGGCTCCAGGCAAGTGCCGAGATTCGGATTCGAGATTCGGAGCAGGCTGCTGTCTGGGATTTCCAGGTAACGAGCCTCCCGCCCTGCTCCCTGGTCAGCCCCAGCACTTACCCGGCAGACTTGGGAAAGTCTCTAAGAAGTGCGGAGGCGGGGGTGGTGGGGGCTCTGCCACTTTCTCCCGGGCGGGCAGCAGCTCGTCGGCTTCCAGCCCGCCCTCTGGGCGTCGGCTGCCCGGTTCAGGGTTGTTTCGGGCGGCCGTAGTGGCGGCAGCAGCAGCAGCGGCGGCGAGCTCCGGGGGCCCGTAGAAGGCGTCCGGCGGCTCTGCGAAGCTGGGCAGTGCGGTGGTCAGCGCCACCATGGAGGGCACGGCCTGGCCCAGCCCAGCGCAGAAGGTGTTGGTAAGGCGGCCGGCAAAGGAGGCTAGGGGAGCAAGGGGCGGGAGGCCGGCGGGCAGCGGCGCAGGGGCCAGCGCCTGCGGCAGCACGAGGGGCCGGTAGGGCATGAACATGGGGTAGCCGGTATAGAGTAAGTGGCCAGAGCGTGGGGGTGGTGGTCCGATCAAAGAGTCGATGGAGAAGGCAGTGCCCGAGCCCCCACCACTGCCCCCGCCGCTGCCCCCGGGGGCGCTCCCGCCTCCAGCTCTCTGCATCTTGCTGGGAGCTGTTGCCGCCCCGGGGCACTCCCCTGCGGGCACACCGCGCGCCCTGCGGACAGGCAGGGCTGGCTCCCCGGCTCCCGGGCCGAGGTGGCGGCAGGGCTCGGGCTCCGCGCAGTGTGGCTCCGGTGCCGCGCTCCCTCTCTCTCATAAGGAGGGAGGGGGCGGGCAAGCGGGCGGGCTGGGGGTGTCGCCCTCCGGACTCATCCATCTTCCTCAAATTACGCTTCACTTCCTCCCTCCGCCCGCTGCCGAGCCCGCTTGCTCCCTCTGCAGAGCCTGTTCCCAGCGGCCCCGCCAGTGGGCCTGGGACCCCCGCCCGCCCCCCGCGGCCCAACCAACTATTATTAATGGAGATTGATGAGTCCGGACACACTGCTTTGTGAAAGTTTGCGGCCAACGAGAAGCCGGCTGCAGCTGCCGGGCCAGTGCCCCTCCTTCCACCCAGCCCGCCCCCATTTAGCCCACTTGGCCAGGGCATGGACTGGGCACAGGGTGGCAGCAAGGAGGGCGCACCAGAAAGGACAGGCTCAGACCTAAGCGCGCTACCTACCCGCCCCCCCCAACCCAGGCCGCTGCCTTCTGTCCGACCCAAGCCAGTCCCCAGTGTCCCATGTCTGGACCTCGGAGCGAAAGACATGGCAGCCCCCAAAGCAAGCCCAGAGGGGCGGAGGGGACAGGACCTCAGTGCCCCCTTGGGCTGCGAGGCGGGGACGGCAGGGGGCGCACTCTGTCACATCGTCGGGGCTCAGGGTCACTATATCGGGGCCCTTTTCCTTCTCTTTCGCTTCTCTCGCCCCTGGTCTGTCTGGGCATCAGCTTTCCCTTCCTTTGCATCCTCACTCCCTCCTCCATCGTGGACTCCCTTAGTCCCTTACTCTGGCCTCTTGGGTAATTTCCTAAAGGGCCCACACTATGCCAAGTACTTACCATTCCTCTCACCTTTCCTCCTCCAGCTTATCTTTTCCATTATTTTCCTTCCTCCCAATCTTCCCTTTCCTGCCCGTGTTTCTATCCCTATTGCTATTTGATTATTCCTATTTCTCATCCCCTATCCCAGTGCAACTTACTCTATTTTTTCCCTCATTTTCCACCTATATCCATATCTCTTGTCTGTCTTTCTGTCTATCTCTGACTCCCCTCCCTCTTTTCCCTTCTCTTCTCTCCCGCTCCCTTTCTCTCCTGCTATTAATTTCCCTGATTGGTTCCCCAGCTCCAGCGCTGCTGATGAGCCCTATTCATTCCTGGGCCTGACACTATCGACCTGCCCTGGCTGATTGCTGGGGGCTGGCCCCAGGAGCGCTGATGAGCCCCAAGGGTCAGCAGTGCTAATTATCCACTAATTGCTGATGACTCTGCTCATCTTCCCCCATTCTCAGACACGGTAATGGTGGCCCCTTTTACTCTCCCCCTCCTTCTGAGTGCCAGCAGTGGAGTTGTCAATCTAAAGGCAAATGTCATGGGCACTTTCGTTTGATAGGAACCTCAGGTCAGTGGGCAAGAAAGACTTAAGACAGGCAAGGCAACAGAAGAAGAGTGACCCTGAGCTTCAGTACACAGAGCAAACCTGTCCTGCTAAAACGGGGGTCATCTGGTCACTGGGACACTTATTCAGGTGGGGCCAGGGAGAGCCAAGCTAGTTTAAATTAATAGTAGCAAAGCCAGGCAAGTTTAGGAGGATGAAAACCTATACCAAAAAGTCTGTTTCTGAGCCAAGACACTGCAGCGCAGATGAGAACTCTGGATCTCAATGACATTCATTCGATTCAGGAGTGTTGTGTTGGCCTAGTGAACACCACTACTGTCAGACTAATGCATTAAAAATCAGCACCCTGAAACACACTCTTGCCAGAGTGGTTCAGAAGAGGGTGGGACCCAAGAAGGGGGCTTTCTTTGGTTATGCTTGATTGACAATTCATCAGAGAGGTAAAGGGAGAAGAGTGAGGTTCCCATTCAGTCCTGACTTATCTTGGGCTTACATTAAACTAAGTGAAAGTTCTTAGAGATGAATCTGGTGGGAAGATGCTACCATGGTGAAAAAAGATGTGGCTTAACTTAGGTCTTCGAAGCCCAACTCACTACTAAAGTATGAGGATAATCCTTGTACATCCTTCTAAAGACATTTGTTAGAACCCTTTGTTAAATTAACCAAGCACTTCATGGTACCAATATGGAAGACTGGACTTCAAAGTGTATTGTATTTAAAAAGTGAGACAGCCCTGGCTGGTTTGGCTCAGCGATTAGAGTGTCAGCCCGCAGACCAATGAATCGTGGGTTCAATTCTGGTCAAGGGCACATACCTTCGTTGAGGTTTGTCCCTGGCACTGGTCAGGTCATTTGGAAGGCAACCAATTGATGTGTCTCTCTCACATTGATGTCCCCCCCCCACTTTATCTGAAGAAAAATGCACTTGGGTGAGGATAAATAAATAAATAGTGAGACAGAGGTCAGTACTTGGCTTGATGGCTTTACAGTGTTGGATACACAATAGAGGCTTATTGAGTTGAAAATTATTGAGGGGACTTTTGGGGACTTAAAGTTGTATGAGCAGTAACACCACCAATCAAATAAACCATGAAGGAAGACCCATTTTTAAAAGTAATTGCATTCTTCTTTTTTTTTGCATAGGTAATAAAATCAGATAGCACAAAGTTCCAAAAGCTCAATATATATATTGAAACATCTCCTTCCTACCTGTCCCCTCAGTAAAAGACCACTTTAGTCTGGCCAGTGTGGCTCAGTGGTTGAGCATTGACCCATGCACCAAGAGGTTGCTGGTTCAATTCCCAGTCAGGACACATGCCCAGGTTGTGGGCCCAAACCCCAGTGGGGGGCATGCAGGAGGCGGCCAATCAATGTTCTTTCTCATCGATGTTTCTATCTCTCCCCCTCACTTCTTCTCTCTCTAAAATAAATAAAGGAAAAAAATTATTTAAAAAAAAAGACCATTTTAATAAGCCTGTCATTCTCTGGTGGGACAGAATAGATAATGCATTACCAAGGGTTTAAGGTTAAATACCCTTTGATCTTGAAGATGTATGTCACCTAGCTCAAGCCAAGAGCTTATTTCCCTGAACTATACTCAATAAAGTGGAATCCTCTGCTCAAGCTGGCACAGAGAGTATAGGAATAAAGCTTGTTGTCCACAAATCCCAATGGCCCACCAACTCTGAAGTGAGAACCCAGCGGCTTTGTATTGCCCTGGTGCAGTGCATGTTTATCAGGTACTGTATTTTATTTATTTTATTTTTATTTTTTATTTATTTATTTTTATCCTCACCCGAGGACATTTTTCCATCTTTTGCACAGATAGAGTAGGAGGGAGAGAGAGGAAGAGAGAGAGAGAGAAAAAAACATCGATGTGAAAGGGACACATCGAGTGGCTGCCACCCGCACGACCAACCAGGGCCGGGGACAAACTGCAACCGAGGTACATGCCCTTAGCGGGAACCGAACCCGGGTCTCTCCGGACCGCAGGCGGATGCTCTAACCGCTGAGCAAAACCGGCCAGGGCCAGGTACTGTATTTTAGAACCCATGTATATCCTCAGTCTGGTCCCTTGCCACACTGGAGTCATGAAGTGTGATTTCTGCATACTCCCTGACAGTTGGTAGCTAAAAGCCTCATATACATAGTGCAACTGAAGCAGCCCATTTCCTTCCACCGCCATTTCACAGACTGTGGAACTGAGGCCACAGGGTACATGGGAAAAAGCACTGGCTGGAATAAAAAGACCTAGAGTTAAGTTTCTCTTCTGACCCAAAACTGGGTTCTGTGACCTTGGCCCCTCTTTGGTTTAACTTTTCCATCTGTGACAGAAAGTGATTACTATCTACTCTGGTTAGTCAAAGAGCTGGTGCAAGGATCAAGTTAACAGGAGGCGATGGCTTTCCTGCACTGAATGGATCAAGAAAAGCTGTGTGGTCAAGAATGGAAGTCCCCCAAATCAGTGGCTCTCCCATCAGTACCAAGGACAGAAGCTGTCGCTGTCAAATGTGAATAGAAGCGGCTCCTTTCTCTACCAAGAGAAAACTGTGGTTCTCCTCCTGAATCCCTGAACGGGTCCCTTGTAGGTAAGCACCTCCCTCCCCCTCTAAAATGTTATTCTAAAAGTGCTTCTTTAGCTCAGCCGGCGTAGCTCATTGGTTGAGCGTCGACCCATGCACCAGTCAGGGCACGTGCCCAAGTTGTGGGCCTGAACCCTGGTGGGGGGCATGCAGGAGGTGGCCAATCAATCTCATTGATGTTTCTCTCTCTCTCTTTCTCTCTCTCTCCTTTCCTTTCTTTCTAAAATCAATAAAAAAATATTTTAAAAATAAATAAAAGTGCTTCTTTAACTGTCCATGTGCTCTGACTTCCCATTCTCACCATTCCATCTGTTGGGGAAATGCTCCTGCAGAGGAGCATTCTGAATCTGTTCTCTCTACTTGTGCGATGCCGGACCCCGTCATCTAGCCTCCCCTTCACGGATCAGAAACCAACACCTAGGCTGTAAGAATGAACAAAGTATTCTAAAGTCAGAGCCAACAGACCTATACTGCTGCCTCACTCATTGGCGAGAGCGAGTCCACGGACGATGGGCAGTGTCGGGCCCTGTCCGCAGGCACCCTCTGGTGGCAGCAGAGTGCAACTGCGTCACCGCGAGAGAGGTGCGGAGTACTGCAGCGCCCCCTCGCGTTAGTCCTGGAGATGCGCGGAGGGCAAAGGAACAGGATTAGGTGAGCCCCCCAAGGACCAGCGCTCAGGGAGCTGCTGGGTCCTTCACTGAGCGCACTGATTGGGCGCGGGGACTGTACACGGGAGTCTTAAAGTCTAGTATGCACGCGTGTAGGTTCATGTATGTGTGTAGTGGCCAGGTACTTAACCCTGCGTATATGCTGGGTTAAATGCGTGCTGTCTGTGTGTGAGCACGTGTTACACGCGGGTAGGTTGGTAGTGGGGAGGTCCGCGCCTCTAGTGCAGGGCGGAGTCCTCACGGAGGCGTGAAATTGGTT